ACAAGGCAGATGGCGATGCCGTCGCACGGTTGACGCAGTTCACCACCTCCAAAGCCGTCGAGCCCGATTCTCGCCCACAGTTTGCGGAGTGGGCTGCTGTCACCGATACCCACGGATACTACAACATTGCCCACCTGGCTTACTGGCCCAGCAAGGCGGCATACGAGAAGTGGTCTGTCGACTCCGGCTTCAAGACATGGTGGGACGAGCTCGATCCCCAAGCCGAGCGCCACGGCTGGTTCCTCGAGATGTTCCTCCCTACGATGGACCGTTTCGAGACGGTCTTCTCCAACAACGAGATTCCTGAGGGAGCGGCACACATGCGCGAAAGTGTGATCGGTCCTATCAAGGAGCACGTATACTGGGGCAGCATGCGCGACAGAATGGCAGCAGCTCAGAACGACAAGCTTGTTGGAGAAAAGGTCGAGCGTGCCACGAACGGAACGACAAACGGCAACGGAGCCCCCAAGCCTCGAAGGGTTCAGGTTTCCGGCAAGAAGAACCTCGCTGTCATCCGATCCGGCCAAGATTGGTCGGGAACACTGCCCGAAGAGCGGGAGCTGTACCTGTCAACGATGCACCCCGTGCTCATCGAGGGCATGAACTTCCTTCGCGACCAAGGCGCTGAGGTCGGCTGCCACAGCTGTCGATTTATGGACCTCGTCGACCCCGCGACGGGTAAGGCCGACAAGGACCGCACATTCGGGTTGGCCTTCTTCGACGACCTTGCATCCCTCGAGGGTTGGGCAAAGGAACACCCGACACATTTGAAGATCTTCGGAGGCTTCTTGCAATATGCCAAGAAGTTGGAGAACAATGTTTCGCTTCGTTTGTTCCACGAAGTGTTGGTGCTGAAGCCGGAGCAGCAGCACTTCGAGTACGTCGGTTGCCACTCCGGTACTGGGCTGCTTGCAATCGTATGATAACCATTCAATACACAAAACTCTCATCGTCAAGCTTCACTGCCATTGATTTCGTGAACGAATGTTCAGTCCACAGTAGATCGTGATCAGCAAAGACAGGGTGAGAGTGATTGGCCAGATAGCCATCGAGCTAGAAATCGGATCGCAAGGACAACCCCTGGAGACATCAGAGACATTGCACGGGGAGTGAGCACGGGGAGTGACCCAGGCTCGGTCCGGTGACATGGGCCATGACTCGACCCAGCCCAAGTTATCTTGCGGGGCTTTTGACTCCGCAACGTTGTGGGAAACTAGGGCCTTGCAGATTGCCAGCCCGGTTTCACAAGATACGAACATGCACATCATCCCAACCTGTCAGACAATACACATGAAGTCATCCTAGCAGTTGGATGAGACAGTGGCCTCCAACTTCGACATTTGCCGTTACTGTAAAAGTATTTCGTTATACTGTGTTTGTAGCTGTTCTTCGATCGGATCGATGCTGATGCGCAACTGATCATGCTCAAGAGAACGTTTGAATATTGGAGCCTTCGAGTGCGGAGTTACTTACATACTGCCAATTGAATTATTTTCTTGCAAGTCATCATAGGTATTGCTCTACCGCCATGCTCAAGACACTTTGTCAGTTAACTTAACAGACAACTGACATATAACATTAGTCAAAATACATGGAAGAAAAACAAACTCAGGATGAACTTGCTATTGAAACCTTACAAAGATCGTTTTGACGATATTCTAGAATTACTAGACGATCCGTACCAAAGGACTGCCAAAGTAGACAAGTCGATACTGTATATGAGATTCTATGAATTGCCCCAAATATGCCATCGTCTTTTCGTCTCGCCGGACAAGACATACTCTGGTGTCAAGTACCTTCCTTAAAGTGTCACCCGCTTGTTGACTGCATTCTCCCATATCCTCTGAGCCAGCCTCTCACCCGGACCCTTTTCCGGCCATGCCACCAGCGCCAACACGTTTCTCGCGGCGTTCCACTCAATAACCCCTGTGGCCCTACTCCATCGCCTCAGCTTTCTGGCCCACCATTCCGCTAGCATGGCATATAGCTCGTCTTCATCGTCATAGAGCGGGCTGTCGTCACGATACGCTCTGGGAATGACGTCCTGGTGGTATGGCTCGCCGCCCGGACCCCCAGGTTCCGGAGCCGGGAGGCCCGCCTTCTGGGCGCTCGCAGTGGTGCAAGCGCCGACCACGACCTTCCATAGCCACAGCGCCTGGCCGAGCCGAGTTCCTTCTGTACAGTCATTGATGTTGATACGTGAGCCTGCTATGGCGGTTTCGGTTGTAGCGACATCCTGTTGGATAGCAGGAATCATGTAGCATAAGGGACCACCCCCGGTGCTGGGCCCGTACGTCCATGGTAGGCCAATTATGCAGTGTATGTAGGCACCTTCGGCAGCGACAGTGCTACCCCAAGGGATTTTGGTGTGAAAAGGCGAGGGAGTTTGGGATGTCCGTGTGTTCGTCTGGCTCTCAGGGGTGGGCACAACCGGGGAGGACGTCGAGGCACAGCAACCACCATGTGCGGTGGTCACCAAGCGCAAGTAATCCAACAGATCACTGAAGTCGAAGTTTGCGCTAGAAATACTATAGCTTGCCATGAGAAAATAAGTGACCAGCCACAAGGCCAGTTGGCCGTCAGGCATTCTTTGCTCCATCCCTGTAGGAACCTTGGGCTGTTGTCGTCTAGTTACTTCTTGCGGAAATGGAGGCTGAAGCAAATTCGAAGTCCCCGCAATCACGTCGCATGTGACGAGGGCCAGATAGAGTTGAACAGTGTCATCTGTCGAATTCGCAAATGCAGACGGCGAATCAGCCATACTCAAATCGGTCAAGCCTTTCTGTTGTAGAGTTTGAAACCTGTCCTTGAGCATAGATAGACCAATCAGGTGGGCTCGCGCTGCGTCGTAATCGCCCATACTCATCTATATATCACCAAATAAGATCAAGTTGTCAGTGATATGTAACTGAAGATCCTCAGAAGATCTTAACCAGAGGACGCGCTTTGTAGCCTTACCTCTATAAGAGCGATGGTGCCCACGATGTTCAGGTAAGTCTTGAACTTGCAGGGGTCATTATGGTCAGCCCCTCCAAGATACGAGTTGATGGAACGAATCCAATTGATCTTGTGCATGTAGTATGTCGAAGCAAATTTTCCGAGGTTGCCGTTATTCCAGTAGTAATGCAGACCGGCTAGTAACAAGATACCATGAAAAGAATCTGGATTACTGGCCAACTTGCCGACACTGCATCTTATAAGGTACTCATTAGCCAAACAGGTCGAAGTAATCGAGGGAAAAGGAAAAAATTTGACTTACGTCTGTTTGTGCCTGAGGGTATCTCCACCTTTCGGGGAGTTGACGTCCAAGACTAACCGGGAGGCGGACGTCAGGCTTGATCAGGCTTGCAAAGTATGGAGACCTCCTCCATGGTACAGGAGGCAAGTAGACTCACAGTATCGGAACAGCTCATGGGACTTGGACGACATATATAGCGGCATGCTATCAAATGGGTCCACGGTTCTGGGGTCTTTGGGAAGCTGCCAGACGGCATTCCGTCCACCCCTCCCTATAAAGTTGGGACGAGACCCGTTCAAAATGCTACCATCACCGGTCTCGCTGATCCATCGCTCGAGAGGGGGGTAGAGGCACGATGTTCCAGAAACGAGACATTTTGTGCTGTCAGAAAGGTCAGAGAAATTTCGCTCATTCTTGCTTGCTATGACAAAGATCCTCCACGTCGCCACCCTTGCAAGCGGCTTATAGGCCTAGCGATACTGGCCAAGGTCATCCGATTCTCATGCACCCCGCGTATATCTGATCTAAAGGGGCAAGGGTCATAAAAGCTGTTCTGGCAAGATCGTCTGATCCTCCTGTACGACGCGTCTATGTGGCCCAAAGAGGTAAGATCATAATAGCTACATGGATTCGGTATGGTGGGATGCGAGAAAGTCAGAGAAGTGCCAATGAGACTTACCATGTCGGTCGCTTCTCATCGCATCGGACATGTCTCTTTTTGCAGGCACTGCACCCAGTCCGACTGCGTGTGTGGTGCTGCCTTCGTCGTGACGACGTCTTGGGCGCTTGCATACTCAGGTCGCATAAGCACGTCGCGTAATGCTTGCGACGAGCGTTTATGATAGTACACCAGTATCAATGTACTTGCTGAGTACTCTGAGAACACAAGTGAAGTCGCGGAAGGGGTTCAACGCTGTTAGGTTTAGGGGTTAGTCAATCTCCCCGCTGTTCAACGCGCGACGATGCTTACCAACCTAAGTTTGGAGACGAGTCTCGGCGCTCAAATACCTACAAGACGTTCTTCCGAGTTTTTCGTGCTACTTCAATGATTAATCACATGGTTATCCCGCTTAAATCGAGGGAATATGACGGCCCAATGAGACATGTGGGATGTATTATCAATACTTGCATCCGTCCCACCATGCACCATCAGCACTAAGCCCGAGAGAGCGTGTTTGACGCGGGTTGCATGATGCATCCTGCCCCAGAGCGGACTTAGTGGGCTGTTTCCTACGAGGCGGCGAATAGCCATTCAACCATTTCCCCATAATACTTTACTGATAAGAATTGTATTAGTCTTGAGAGAAGGCTTTCTGCAAATGCTGTTGCCTGCCGTGTCGCGGAGCTTAGTCAACACTCGGGTTTACGACAATTACCTTGATGCGCATGAACAAATTAGGGTATGTCGTGTTCGGTACATCGCTGGCACAACTTCGCTTCTGCAGCCCAGAAGAGGCTCATCTGCGTGCCTCAAAGTTGAGCTTGTTCAAAAATGGATTGTTATACGCAGCACTTGCTACTTGGAACATTTGAGCTCGGCATCTTGGGATAAAGTAACACTGTTGAAAATGCGACGAAATGTCTATAAAAGAAGGGGAATTTCCAGTCCGCAAACCAACATGAAGATATCTAGCACTCTCAGCGCATCATATCCAGTATCTCTCCCAGAAACCAAAGTTTTTCCCGGTTCAAAATCCTATTGTCGTTCCAATCCATTTTTACAAGGCATCAATCTCAACAGAGATCCGAAACACCTCTCAGAATGGCCTCCTTCGGCTTCGACACTACCGCGGAAGAAGTTGTCTCAACCTTCGCTTCCAATGTCAAAGGCCGCACATTTCTCATCACTGGTGCTAGCGCCAACGGGTTGGGTGCCTATATGGCCACTTCTCTTGCCAAGGCGTCGCCCGCGGCATTCATCCTTGCTGGTCGCTCCGAAGCCAAGGTGGCGCCTGTCATCAAGGAGATCGCCGCCATCGATCCGTCTATCCGTGCCACCTTCATTGCTGTTGAGCTTACCGACCAGGACAGCGTTCGAGCCGCAGCTTCAAAAATCCTCGAAGACTCCAATATGTCCCAGATTGACGTTATGATCAATTGCGCCGGTATTATGTACGTCAAGGAGTTCACGACAGATGCCGAGGGAAACGAGTTGCAGTTCAGTGCCAACCATATCGGACACTTCCTGCTCACGAACTTGCTGCTGCCCAAGATTCTTGCCGCTGGTGAGGATGCCCGCATTATCAACGTCTCGAGCCACGGACATCAGCTCTCCGACGTGTGGTGGAGCGACCCGACCTTCAACAAGGGCAAAGACTATCACGGATGGAGCGGTTATGGACAATCCAAGACCGCAAACATCTTATTCAGTGTCGAGTTAGCTCGCAGACTGAAAGACCGTGGGATTGTCTCACTGTCTGGCGAGTGCAACTTACATAATACGAAGCTGCGAGAAAGCAAACACCGCCTAACACATTTAGTCCATCCCGGAAGCATCGGAGGCACTGGTCTCTTTAATCATGTTTCCATGACAGAGCTTGACAAGGGCGACGAGATCTCTCGAAAGAACACCGGATTGCCTTTCGCGATCGACATGCCATTCAAGACCGCGACTCAAGGGTGCTCGTCTATATTGGCGGCCGCGCTGGATCCGGAGCTTGCGGCTCATAGCGGCTCATATATTCAGAACTGCCAGGTCGGAACGCCTCGAGAGTATGCACTTGATGGCGAGAATGTGAAGAAGCTGTGGGCCATGAGCGAGGATTTGGTACAACAGGGTTTTGACCTGTGAATGTTGAGGGTCAAGTTCAGGCGACAGAGGCCGTAAATTTACTTTTCCTATGGAAATTATGATTCTTATGTCAGTCTGGGCTAGGTAGTCGCAGTTGCAATGGATGTTTTCTGTCGTGTCGAGTGCAGTGCAAAAGATCAAGTAATGGATGCATTGGCTTATTGCTCAGTTGGGGTATTTTGTGACTCAATGTGAATTCCCCATTTCCTAATCTGATGCATACTCAGCGCTCAAAAGCTCCAATCATTCTGTCAAATGACTTGTGAACGGGCAAGAGAGAACTTTGATATTAACTTTCACACAACCCGAATGAATGCCCCACTCTTTGAAGGAACTCGCCCACAACCCGGAATAGGCTCAGACAACAACTCTTTCTATCACGCCTGATGCGTGTGCAAGTGAGAAACTCTTCAAGATGAAAGAGAGTAAGTAGTCAAGGTGTATTCAATATGCGTTATATCTTCTGTCATATCTGAGAAAAGAACTACTGATAACTATATGGAAATGGGGCTGAGATTGTCCAACTGGGTCTATCTGCCGTGTTTGCATCCACCCAGCACCGCCAGGTCCACATCGTGAGCTCCATATTCCCAAAATTCCCTCAACTCGCCAAGTGAAATCAGACACAACATCTCAACATCCCCGATGGCACAATTGGCTAGCGCGTCAGACTGTTAATCTGGAGGTTGGTGGTTCGAGCCCACCTCGGGGAGATTCGGTGGTTAAATCCCACCCATGAGTTGACTATTTCTTTTGCTTCTTGGGCCCATTAACATCGGATGGAATATTTCACCATTATGACCCATGTATCGAGTGGCACGGAATGTTCCGTGTCTCGAATCAAGTCGCCAGTATGTGTAGACAATTAGCGGAGGTCTAGATTGACTCTGATGGGTGATGGTGCTCGCTAGTCCTCCGTGGTAATGATGGCGGCCGTTTTAGCCCCGCGATTCAATGCGCTTCTCACAGATAAGCATCTAATGAGTACCTCTTTGGCTTCTGAATTTAATTGGACTCGAGGCTACCTGAATGACCTATTGGAAAGTCACCGCCTAATGTTCCTGGGTCTGCGCGCTACGTTTCTTGTGTACTGAATGACTCCTTGAAGACGATGGGAACGACAGCGACGACGATAACAATGATAATGAAGACAACGACGAAGATATGGGAAGCGACTACGACGATAGAAGCAAAGATGACGACAATAGACTAGAATAGAGCCACAGGAAAAATACCTAGACAGTCTCGAAACAAGGTCTTACTGCCAAGAAAATAGTGCCCATAGCCTATCGATAATACCGATGTGAGTTGAAAATAAGCTCATTATGAATTGAATTGGCATTCGATTTGGAAAGGTTGCACTACAAGCTGAAGGTAAGTATTCGCAGAATGCAACGTGGGGGCTGAGCATTGCAGAAATCCGAGGACCCTGAAATCCATTTCACAGTAAGCACATGAAGAGTTATCTAGATAACTCGGTGACCAGCAGGCACCCATGTCCAACGTTCTGTCCCTTCCCTCCGCCTCTGGTTCTTGATCGTCACGAGGAAGCTCGTACTCCGTTTCGGCGGTGCTCTGTCGGTCCTTGCCAGTCCTTCATTCTCTCCTTCCGTCACTATACTTAGCTTGTTCAAGACAGTGAGTCACTCTTTCTCTCGCCTCGGTCACTCCACTCGACGACAGGCCCTTTCCACCAACCTCGACTGCACCAAGCCCGCGACTCACAAGTCGACCTACACCGGTGAGAAAGGCACCTTTGAAGTCCTCTGCGGATGTGATTATGGCGGCGGCAACTATAAGGGTATCGACGCGCCGACATTTGAGGCCTGTGTCAAGGCCTGCGACGCCGAAGAAGCCTGTATCGCCGTAGCCTACGTCAACGACCAGCAGGATTGCTATCTGAAAGACGTGCAGACGCCGGCCACAGCTCTTGCATGGGTGAACTCTGCACGCAAAACATCCAAGGCTTCAGGGGTTACTTGCGCCGGCGGTGCCTCCAACGGTGCGACCTACGCCGGTGCCAACGGCAACTTTGAGATTGTGTGTGGCGTGGACTATGCTGGTGCCGATATCGCCGCCCTCCAGGTCGCCAGCTTCGAGGACTGCATCAAGGCATGCGACAATGATCCCCGATGCGTGGATGTCTCGTTCAGCTACATTGGGAAAACGTGCTGGACCAAGGACCGACTCACCACATCCAACCCCGTGGAAGCCATCTGGACTGCAAAAAAGGTCGTCAAGGAGAAACCGACGTCGCAGGTCACATGTGTTGGCAACGCTGCTGACGGCACCACGTACAAAGCGACCAAGAGCTCATTTCAGATCCTCTGCGGTGTGAATTACGGGGGCGGGGACATTGGAGCTGCTCAGTATGACATCTTTGAGGAGTGCATGAAAGCATGCAACGCTGACGACCGCTGCGTCGACGTTTCTTACGACCCTCAGGGCAGAAACTGCTGGACGAAGGATACCCTCAACACCCTGAACCCCGTTGATTGGGTTTGAACCGGCAAGAAGACCTAAGACACGACCATCAAATCAGCTGTGTCCAATGCTTTTTCCTGCTCGACAGCCGGGACTAACAGCAAGACCTTTAAAACGACAACCGACAACGAGCATCAGATCATCTGCGGGCAGGACTACGCCGGGGGAGATCTCAAAGCTGTGGACACGGCCACCTTCCAGGCTTGTAGTCCTCGGAACTTCGTACCCGTACGTCCGCGATAACTATTGAGGCGAGGTGTACATGAAACCCATGAACCAGTCTTTCAACGGCTACACTTTAGCCAAACGTGCCAAGGACGCTGACCCGTGCTCAAAGGGACTCACCTGCTCCATCATTGACGCCGGAGGCGTGAAAAGGTTTGGGATGTCGCTACAGGTTCCCGACTTCAGGCCAACTCACACTATAGGGACGATGGAAGAAGCAGCAACTCTTTCCGTCCTGTGTGGTATAAGCTGCCGGACACGAGTTGGTACAAGTGGCTTCCGTTCACGGTGACTTATGAGGATGTGCCATGTCCTTGCTAAGTTCTGGCCTGATGGAATGCGAAAAGACTTTGGATCTTGGCCTCTGGTCTTTCTTCGACGTCATGTCGCGCATACTATTTATCGAGCAACACCTGGAATCAAGTCATTGGTATTTAAATCTCTAACCTCGCAATGAGATGCTCGGTATGTGAGTTCTGCCATCAAGCTCAAGTGAGTGGGTGCTCAGATGTCTCTTGTAGTCTTAAGGGCTGGGCAATAGAGCTTTCTACGATATCTCATCTAGTGACTAAAGCGAAGCGTGGAACTAATTTGGAATTCATCCAGTCACCTTCCGGCTGACCTATGATTATCTACAGGTCATTTATGAAGGCTTTTGTGATTTGGACGGATAGTGAAAATGGCACAGCAGTAACAAGTACGAAGAAGACGACGGCAATGACAGCAAAACCAGCAACGATAGTAATGATCATCATACAGGGATTCATAGAGGGAATGGTCTTTTGTTATAGCAGGTAGTGATTTGCCCGTTTAGTTATAAGTATCCGCCCGGATAGCAAAACTCGTCACAAAACCCATCTCTCACATCCTGTAGGCTTCAACCCAAGCGACTGACAGGCTAAAATTATACTTCATCTCGACGGGTTCAAATATTGTTTTTCCCTCATTGCAAGGTAGCATTGGTATCCCCAGAAGTAATACATCTATCGCATGTTGTATCAAGATGTAAGCCAGTTTCAACGAACAAAGCTTTCCCAGAACCACGGTATCCATATGCAGTATCTCCAATGAAGCCCCAGTCGTCTCCATCTACAGGTACTCTTTTTCACTAGTGCAAAGTGTAATTCTCATAGTTGAGTTCTCTTTCGATCGTTCCATGCTAATACTAGACGACCCTTGATTCGGTTTTGGCTCCAAGACCCCCATTTCAATAATTACTGCTCCTAGCCTGAGTAACATTTTGGCTCCCTTGTCCTCCCTCGGCTACCGACGGAGCTATGCCGGGTGGCTTTTACTAAGGCGAGTCCCATCGTATCTGCGAACGCATGGAGCCTGCAGAAGCGATACCTGCCCATGGATGAGAATCCCTACAAGCGCGTGATGAACGTGTCACTTCTTCAGAATGCTGCAGCTCCAGCTTCGTGGTATGATTCAATCATGAGTGAGGCGATCTTTGAACAAACTTTTCACGAAGGATGAGACATAGACTGAGATCGTCGTTAGCGGCCGTTCTTAGCCAGGCAGCCACTTTCATAACGGAGCGCCACGCATACTAAAGGGTAGCTAGGAGCTGTATTTGCGGATGCGCAGACTTAAGAGACCGTCTCAAACGCCCCCAAAGTCAGGGTGTGTTATGTAACCAGGGAGCGTAAGAGAAGCCTGCCAGCGACAGGCCAACAGAGTCTAGACTATTGAAAGTCGGTTAACGTTGAGTAAAGTATTGTGAGCGGTTCAGGGGCGAAGACATCAAGACATCCTCGTGACAGCAAAGTGAGATGAGCTCTCATCGACCCCTTCGAAGCTTCATGGGCGAGAGTCATGAATCATGATGTAACATCGGAAACATACATGTCTCCCGAGTCTGTCGCTAGCTTAGGCAAGCTCTTCATGGTCGGACCCGAAGTTCTCCCTTGAGACATCGTCCACGGGCCCATGGAAAAACCTCTCGTTTAGGAAAGGCATACGCGACGGCTCTTGACTACTCGATTGGGAACCAGGAAACTTCAACCTGGATGGAGCTACTTTCCGATGACACTGAAAGCGCCATGTCTCCGTGTTCGTTGGAACCAGTGGCCTGTCTGCATGCAAGCCAACCCAGGAAATTGGGAACGAATCCATTTCTGCACTAAGGATCCTGGACTCAACGGTCTGGACAACTTCATGGGACGACACACGACGGGCAGCAAGATGCCGTCGGCGGACGCCCGACTCCTCACCTGCAAGCTTCGACTCCCCATCGGCCGGGGCTCGCCACTATTTCTCCGCCGGACATGGTGATGTTATTCGACGCCGCTCGATCGCCCCCTCTGGCGCCAACAACCTCATCCAGACCTCCGGACCAATATCCCAGGTTTTGAAGGGCAAGCAACATCGGTACCGTGGACAAACAAAACTCTATGAAGAGCCCATGGCTTGCGTTGTATCGACAGGGCTACAGCATCTGGCCCCCATGCTGTCACTTCTCACTCGTCGACGCAGCCCTGATGGGTCCTCCGCGCCCTCCCCTGCGCAGCTTGGGGACCCTGGGAGGGGTGGTGGTCATCAGAAATCTTCAACACGGCACCCCCCGCTCGCTCGCCTACGACTCCACCGGAGGAAAGTTTCCCAGAGAAGGCTCGAGGGGAGGAATCTGGCCCCCCCTTTCGCTTCGCGTCGCTTGCGTCGCTTGCCTCAGGGGCCATCAGGCAGTCGAGGCGCGCGAGATGATGGTTCTGCTTGGCGATAGGGTAGATAGGGCGGCGGAGGGACTCCGACCAAGTGGAAATGTGCGCGGCTGCGTTGTGACTCTTTTGTCATTTTCGTATCTGGATCGAATCTGAAGACGGGAGACACGTTGAATGAACGGTGTGAACAGCATTGCACTGCGTCCGTAACGAACTTGCATTACGGCATCTTGGCTGGGCCCTCGTGTCGGCAGATGCGAGTTTCGGTGCGGCGTGATTTATGCATTGCATCTGCAACCCAGAATACATGGGAAATGGCGAGGCACGCAAGAGTATGCGCGCATCGCTTGCATCCGCCGCACCATTCGCTGGAAGATCCAGGCGATCGGTGTCCTTGAGGGGGTGAGATCCAGGGGCGGGCAGCAACCAGTTCCGAAACCAGAACGTCAGTGGTCGGAGCATTTCCCATAGAAGGGTTCGATCTGATGGTTTGCTTGTCAAATGAAATCAGTCAGAACCTTGAACTAACGATGGGCGTGAAGCTCTACCGTAGCTCTGATGGAACGATCAATCGAGCCCAAGGGAAATAGGACCGACAAGTGCCGCCGCCGCCAACGTTACGTTCCATCCCGAGGCCTCGACTGGAAAAATTAGGTAGAAAAAAAGTTCTTACGAGGACCGTTTTGCTGCTGCGCCGTACGCTATTGCGACCCAGGAACGGTTTCGGGCGGGATTTCCCTCGTTTACATGACACGGAAACCGGACGCCTTACCAGATTCATGGCGGCGATGCGAGAGGGAAATCACCGAGAAGAACCGGCGTGGGATGCAGCTAACGTAGGCTGGAAGGTGTGCTTCGCTGCGCCGTTGCGCTGCATCGGCCCATCGACAGGGGGTGTTTTCTTGGGATGGCAGACCGGTAGGGACTGCGGGAGAGAGAAAAAAAGTCTGATCTGCGGCCGATGATACTCTCTTCGGCGCATCTTTCCTCGCGCGATCGAATCGAGAGGGAGTTCTGGCATGCTCACAGTGAGTTCATGTTTGAGGGGGCCCGGATCAATCTCGGGTCCAGGAAACGAACAACAGAAGCTTCAATGTCATCCAATATCTCGGGTTTAAAAGGCTGGAATATGCTCAGGCCCTCGAAACCCAGGTCTGGCGTGGCGTAAACTGGGCCAATGGGTTGGCCTCAGAGGGCAGAGCGGCCTGTGTGCCGGCAAGGCATCCCTTGTGAGGTTCAGGGACAGGAAAGGGCTGGTGGTCTGGTAACGAATGCGACCATCCTTGGGAAATGTCGTTGACTGGCTGCGCGGTTGGTGCGCTACAAAGAGTCGACGACGGTGGAGTTTTGTGTTCTGTTTTTTTGCCTGGGTCACGGCATAGCGTTCCCGGAGAAGCATCCACTCGCGAAAATGCTTAGCCATGAATGGACTGTAGGGCAGGGCGGCGAGCTTGTGTGGCTCTGGGGGAGGAGAAATGGTAACTTGCAAGGAGGAGAAACCACCACACCAACACGAAATCCGACCACTTTTTTCTCTTCTTCGCCCTGTGGGCAGGGCTCCTCGGTGGAATTACGTACGGGCCTAGTTGCGAACTTTTGCTTTGGTTGTGCCTGCTACCTCCACCCCCTTTAGCCACTCCGAGATTAGCGCTCCTGGCTGGGCCAGCATCCCCTGGCTCGCTGAGCCAGACCGGAGGACGAAGGAGTGTGGTTTCGCAGCCACCTCTTTTGTCTGGACAACTCGATACTTGTTCAGGTGAGGCTTCTTTGGATGGACAATCGATGCCCAAAGTCAATTGGTTGTCATCGACAGACGTCAAAGACGGGTTGACAGATATCGATCCTGTCAGATCGTAGTGTGGTTGCGGCATCCCACCGCCACGCTGTGTCGGCTGCACAGACCTCGAAATACGACAGAGATCATTAGCCGACGAGACGCCCTCCGCTTCCCTCCCGCTCCCGCTCTGCCTTACCGGCGAAGTTACCACCTAGGGAGGTCGCTGAAGGAAATGGCGCCGGGAGGCTGCCGTAAGGGTCTCTAGGCCGCCAGCACCCGTCGACGGCGTCTCTTAGGTGGTGTGGACAGTGGCGCCGGGGAGGTGCTCCGCGATCCTCCCGTGCCAAGGGTCTCTC